CGGAAATGAAAATGTTTTGGTGAGACATCTCTCTTTAATTTGCATCACCTCTATTTTAACTACCATTTACTCGCTCAAAAATTGTTCAGTTTATGAAAGATCTTGCCGTATTTACAGCCCTAAATCATTCGGGTTCTTTCGGAAAGAATATTGTCAACTTTAAAAAAATAAATATCTTATTTACCGGCTAAGGATCGGTCCGTTTGGTGAAAAACTGTGACCTTGGTCTTGAAATGTAATATATATATATATATTATTTGTGTTTCTGGTTCAAAAGAAAAGGTTGGAAGTAAATGTGGGTGAAAAGTGAAATTTACTGTCTATCAATACCGTCTTAATGGAAACATTCATGATTTCCCTCTTTATCAAATGAGACAAACGGGAACGAGTTTTGAGTGACATAACTTAGCCAAGACTGCCACCGTCGTTTTGGATTTTCACCTGGGTAAATTTTTGTCAAGTGCTAGGCAACGTATAATCAAGAACAAGATAGAATTTCATTTCAGGCCTATTTATCCATTTTGTGGTGTATAACTTTCGCATTTTAGTACGTAATATCTATTTAGAATCTTCAAATTGTCTAGAAACTAAAAAGAAAATTGTTCTTTAAAAATTCACTGGAAATCGGAGCCAAAAATATTTGCTTCGGAGTAAATGATATCTTAAATGAATCTTCGGATTTTTTTCAAGTTCATGGATTGTAAATTACAATTTTATGGAAAACTAAGGTTGTTCCCTTATTTCATTGTGAATCCTCGCACGCCTGCCAGTCGCTAGCGCCGCTTGTTGAAACACCATAGCTACAACTCGCTCTTGCGCATGCGCGCAATTCACGAAGTAAAAAGGAGCCGCGTCAGGCAAAGAGCGATTTAGAAAATAGAACTGCTGAGCTGAGGACAAAAGCAGGAAATATTCAAAGTGCACAGGAAGACATCACTAAACTTGACCAGCAACTCAAGGAACAGAGGGTAAATTTATTAAGAGTTTTTATTAAATTTTCATTTGTCATAAACGTTCATGTTAATATTCGCGTGAGGATAAAAAAAAGACTTTTAGGCTTCCCTTGGCCATGGATATTTCTTTAATAAGAGAGGAATGGCTTTCAAGTATTGATTATCATATTTGATTTCTTTCAGATAATGAATGAAAAAGCTATGGAGTATACAGATGTGTTGAATGCTCGCCTAAACAAAGTCCAGCAAGATTTTGATAATAATAATAATAATAATAATAATAATAATAATAATATACAGTATTTATAGAGCGCTAATTCCCAATGGTCCAAAAGCGCTTTACATAATAAAAATAACAAAATCCTAAACCTACAAAACTACATTGTCATTCTATACAAATTCTCACTGGTCCAAAAGCGCTTTACATAATAAAAATAAGAACAAAATCCTAAACCAACAAAACTACAAAACTACATTGTCATCCTATAAAAACATCATCATTCTATACAACATCATAACCAATTTTAAAAAGCCACGTCTTGAGCTTAGATTTCAAAGAAGAAAGGGAATTACAAGATCTAAGTTGGAATGGAAGTGCATTCCAAACAGAAGGTGCGGCAATAGTAAAAGACCGGCCACCATAAGTTTTAAGATTAAATTTAGATGTAGAAAGTAAAAATTGATTGGAGGATCTAAGAAGTCTACCAGGTGTATAAGGCTTGATGAGATCAGTGATATAGCTAGGTGCAGCACCATGAAGCGCCTTAAATGTAATTACTGCAATTTTGAAAGTTATTCTTTGTTTAATTGGTAGCCAATGAAGTTGAATAAGCAACGACGTAACATGCTCATATCTACTAGTAAGGTGAATAAGCCTAGCAGCACTATTTAGGACACTCTGTAAACGTTTCAAGATACATTTAGGCTGACCGTAGAGCAGTGAGTTACAATAGTCGATCCTTGCAGTAACAAAGACATGAATTAGAGTTTTACATGTATCGTAGGAAAGAAACTTGCGAATCTTAAAAATATTGCGTAAATGAAAAAACGAAGACTTGCAAACAGCAGTAACGTGCGGCAACATCGATAGAGAGTTATTAAAAATAACTCCAATATTTTTAGCAGTAGTTGAACAGTCAAAAGTGTCAGAGGCAATCACCAGGTTTGTTAACGCAGGACGTGGGCGATAGGAGGATGAAAAAACTATAATTTCAGTCTTCCCACTGTTCAGCTTCAGCTTGTTATTTAACATCCAAAGGTCAATATCTTTAACACAATCTTCAAGAGCAGATGTACATGTTGACATATCCTCAGGCGATGACGTTTCAAAAGATAAATATAGCTGTGTATCATCAGCATAAAAGTGATAAGATAGACCATGAGACCTTGCAATATCACCTAAAGGGGAAGTGTACAAAGAATACAGCAAGGGGCCCAAAACGGAACCCTGAGGTACACCATAAGGTAAGGCATGCACATCAGAAGAGACATCTTGGATTCTGACATACTGAGTGCGATCAGATAGATATGAACGAAACCAGTCCAGCGCCTGGTCACAAATGCCAAAACGGATAGATAGTCTAGCAAGGAGAAGAGAATGGTCAACTGTATCAAAAGCAGCAGACAGGTCCAGTAGAACCAAAACAACAGATTTTTGATTGTCAATGGACATAGCAATGTCATTGTATACTCTGAGAAGAGCCGTTTCGGTGCTATGGTGAGCACGGTAGGCAGACTGAAAGACTTCACACAGACCATTGTTGTCAATGTAGTCAACAAGCTGCAAAGCCACTACTTTCTCAATGACTTTGGACAAGAAGGTGAGGTTAGAGATCGGCCGAAAGTTCTTAAATTCTTGATAATCAGCAACTTCTAACCATTGATCGGCTGGCCACAGAAAACACACAGAAAGATGCCGAGTTGAAGGCAAAGGAAGATGAGGTAAACGGGTTGAGACAGGAAACTTTAGACCAAAGTGCAATGGTAGAACCATCCAGAGAAAGCTGAGAGCCATTGAGTATCAGATGATTGAGGCTGAACAACCGGAATAAACTCTTAAAAGACAAGTTTCTGGTTTCTCAATTTCATCAAGTTTCAAGTTTATAGCCTGGAGGTAAAATAACTGTAATTGTACATTTTGTACATAGAACGTGTCATCTGATTCGTGAATCTACTGTCCAAGCTAATGTATTAAGCGGAATCAAGTGACAAATATTTTTATGTTTGTATTTACGGGCGAAATATTTGAAGGAAGATTATTGTCTTACCGAGACGATGATTAGATTGAAAACATACTGTTGAACTTAAAGGTGTCCATCAAGTTTTGAATCTTGTCGTGCCGCAAAAGTGAAAGAGCTCGTCCAAATATCTCTAAAATGCTCTTAAAAAAAAAGACAGAAAAGCTTGTTTCTTCTTCAAGAAACTATTTAAGCATTCTTGTGACTTCTTGTTGATTTTGACGAGACCTCTGTGAAAGATCTACTTTGAGCAGAGGCGACGAAAGTAATTTAGAGAAAATATTGCATTGCATGTAATTTAGAGTAACGACCAGTAAACTTCTATTCACGGCTCAGGTTACTGTCTCTCAATTTCATCAAAGTAACGATCAAAAACTACCTACTGCCTGCAACTGAGAAGTGTTGACGGGGAAGTCTTGAGGTGTTTCATAGTACCACTGAACAATATTGGCAAACATAGTCTTGTAATTGGTTTTCAAACGCACCGTCGATAAACCAAACCTTGATAACCTTGTCAATCATTTGTTGTAAAAGCTATGACAAGTGTGTTGATTTTCAATAAACAGTTAGCAAGTACAAATAAAAGATCGGCAGAATTAGTTGCCATTCGACGAAAATCCCCCTAATTCATAAGTTACTGACGTAAGTAGGTAGCTCTTGCGGAGACAACTCGGCCTACAATCCTCCGAAATCATCTTTACACATTACTTTAAGTAGTTTGTATGATACTCATCCACCACTGCACAGCTTCCATACAACGGTTCTCTATAGATTCTTGAAACTCTTCTTCCAATTTGCCTTGTTTCTTTTCAGTGCTCCTAATATTTTTTTCCAAATTGGATTTTGTATGTAATTGTTCTTCTTCGAGTTGTCCTATGATGGATTCTAAAGATTCTACATTCGATTTTACTTGTTCTAAGGTTGTTTCCAACTGTGTCACTTTACGAGTTAATGTCTGTAGACTCTCTTGTATATTTAGAGCCTTGGAAGTTTGTTGTTGTTGTTTCAAGTGTTCCAAAACTAGGGAGTCTACTTCCTTTTTCAGTTCTTCTTGCGTCTCTTTGATGTTAGCAATTTTTCATGTATTTGTTCAGCCACGGAAAAGCATGGAAGATTCATGATAAATGATGAAAGAGAGTGAATGAGTCAAGTTATATAGGTATTTGTTTGAAATTAGTTTGACTGGCGATGATGTCAGTTTGCTTGCCCAAACGTTCCCAAATCCCTAGAATAGAATAGAATTCCCTAAACTGTGATGTTCTTGATACTTGCCCAAACTTGCACAGGTCACATGTTTGACGAGTCATGATGTCACTTAAAAAAACAAAAAAAATTTTCACTTGCCCACACTTTCCCTTATCCCTAGAGTAAAAACTAGTTTGACCGGTAATAACATCATTTTATGCTCGCACAAGTTACATGTTTGACGAGTCATGAGGTCACTTTATAAAACGAAAAAAAATTTTTTTACTTGCCCTTATCCATAGAGTCATTTTATGCTATAGAAGAAAGAAAATCAAGCGAAACATCATCACTCATCATGGCAGAAGCACACGTAAAAACTGTTATGAAGGAAAGAAAGAGAACCAAACCTGACCCCATGATCAATCGTAAGGATGACTTGGTTCCTCCAACAAAAGTAGTGAAGATTCAAGAAGAAGTAATGGAAGAAGGCGAAGTGCGAGATATTTTGGAAGAAATGGGATTTGAATTCCCTGCCCCCTCGCCAAGATGTTTCTTTCATCCTAAAAAAGAGTTGGAAAAAAAGACTTCCCAAGCTAGGTTTAATTACAGGCGATGTCCCCTGAAAGAATGCCCTGTCTTTATCAGTGAAGATCATTTGAAAGATTATTACGCTTGTGCACACGATTCAGAGAAGCTGTTAGCCGTGTACTATGTTTTGCTAAGAAAGAATTTGCTGAAATGTCGGTGTCGACAACCCATGCAACTCTACCTGTCTTACAGTGACATGAATCCGAAACGTCTGTACTTCCGTTTTCAGAGAAATCGCTGCAAAGTATTTCAATGGACAGATGAAATGCCTACCGATCGCAATCAAGAATTATGGAATCCCAATTTTGTGGATTTCAATGATCCCTTGTGGGAAGACATCTGCGCTCATACTCAATTCCAAACAACCCAAGACGCCAACAAGATTAAATTTCCTCTTGAAGTACGGGGCATGAAATACAGAGCAGAAGATCGTGAAGATTTGTTACGTATCGTGTACATGATACGCCAATTGAGACACAAGCAAGAGATATAAAGGAAAACGATCGAGAATCAAGAATCATTTGTTGCAGTTTTCATCATGACAAGACGCGTACCTTTGATAATGTCTGAACCGTTACCTATGGAGAGTTTACAGCCAGAAGAAACAGTGACTCCGGACGTAAAGACGGATGTGGTAGAAAGATTTGAAAAGAAACTTAGAAAGACAAAGACAAAGTCCAGAAAAAAAAGGGTCAAATGTTCAAAATCGAAAACTTTCTGAAAAAGAAACAAGGACTGCAAGGAATTTGTTTAAATAAGAGAGCATCTTTGTTTAGTTTGTTGTCAAAGATGAAGTGGGCCAAGACTCCTTTAGTAAAACTGTTGGATAAAAAGAAACTAGATAGGATGTAATATAATGACATGATTGTTGTGAATAAAGTTAAGTTGTGATTTGATATCATGAGGTGTGTTTCTTGTGTAGTAAACTTTGATTTACAAATATGCAGAGACATTTATCAAAAGTTTTTTGCCTCAGAAGATTGGATAGTGTTTGAAGAGGAAGACATTTATCCACCTGCGAAAGTGTTTGCCGAAACGGTCACGAGTCCCTTTCGTTTCATTGTCTTTATACTATGGTTGCATGATACTTAGGATGCTTGGATTCATTTTAAAACACATTAAGGCTATATATCCAGAACGTTGTACTTCTATCTTTTCATTAATACGCCTATTGTTGAACCTATGTCGTGGCACCCCGCACTAAGAATAGAAAAAAGAATAAACGTGACAACCAGAAGATGCTCGGATTCATTTCAAACACATTAAGGCTATACATGCAGAACGTTGTACTTCTATCTTTTCATTAATACGCCTATTGTTGAACTTATGTCATGGCACCCCGCACCAAGAATAGAAAAAAGAATAAACGTGACAAAGAAAGAGAATTATTTGAAGCTTATGGAGATCTTACAAAACCGGGAAGTTTGGGAGGTGCGTCGCGTTTTGCTCGTATACATTGTCTGAAACCTGCCGAAGCTCAAAAGATTCTTGAAAAAGATTTGGCTTACACGCTCCATCGACCGAGACGACGCGGAAGATTTCCCACCTTACCCGTATTGGTTTTTGGTAAAGACGAGCAATGGGTTGCAGATTTAGTAGAAATGCAATCTTTGGCCAAATATAATAGTGGAATCGTTATCTTTTGGTAGTCGTGGATGCGTTTTCAAAATACGCTTGGGTAGAACCCATAAAATCTAAAACGGGAATCGCCGTTACCGAGGCTTTTAAAAAAATCTTGAAACGCGCCGAAGGAAGAACACCACAAACATTGCAAACGGATGATGGAAAAGAGATCTACAATCACACATTTCAAAAATTGATGAAAGATAAAGATATTCATCATTTTTCTACGACCGGTGATACAAAAGCCGGCATGGTAGAACGATTCAATCGCACTTTGAAAAGTAGAATGTATCGTTACTTCACGAGTGCCAATACTTACAAGTACTTGAATGTCTTTCAAGTGTTGGTCAGAGGATACAACGAATCCTTTCATCGAAGTATAGGAATGAAACCCTCAGAAGTGACTTTGGAAAATGTTAGTGATGTGTGGGATACATTGTACGGTAAAAAGATTAAAACAACAATGCAAATTGAAACCCCGATTTCGAGTCAACGATAGAGTTCGATTAAACGAAAAATCCAGGATGTTTAAAAAAGGATATTTACCAGGTTGAACTGAACAGGTGTTTATTATGTCAAATGTGGTACCTGGAATGGTTCACACCTATAAAGTCAAAGAAATGGACGATACGCCCGTGCGAGGTACTTTTTACGAATAAGACTTGCAAAAAGTACAAATACCTGACGACGCTTTGTATCGTATAGAAAAAGTCCTTAAACGCTAAGGCAGTAAAGTTCTTGTCAGTTGGAAAGGTTTCCCTCCGAAATATAATTCTTGGTTGACCAAGAAAGACATTCAGAGGCTATGATGGATTTCTACTTACACTTGGAGAGCAATGCGTGTGTACAAGAGTTTCCGCGGAATTCACAGCACAGCTTTAAGAATCGTTTACTTTATCCCATCTACATGAAAGAACGAGGATGGAGAGTGGGATTGGCTAATGTGAGTTATGCTCTAAGCCGTCCGAGAAGATTTTCCTACGACAAATTTGGAGAAGAGGGAAAAAATATCTCCTGGGGAGGCATTACTATGGAAATCACCTACAACGATCAAAGCGAAATTGAAAAAATAACCCTGTCCAATTCCATATACCTGACTTGGACTCGATTCATGGAAATGGGACGCACTTTCCAAAGTGGAGTGGAATTCATGAAACTCCTGGTAGATTATTATGGGGGATTTATATCCGAGACCAAAAGACACGGTGCGGATTTCATGATTAAAAAATACGACAAAAGAGCTGATGACCCTCACGAGTTAGATTTCGATGAGGTCTTACTCGAAGGAAGAGGATACATTACTTTCAAGTGGGAAGGAGACGATTGGATCATCGACAACATTCATACATGGCGAGAAGACAAGAATGTATTTAAAATGCAATGAATGCACGACCTAGTATTCAATTCGGTACAGAATTGGCCTTGGTCATGGACTGGATTCGATACGATGCTTTGAATGATGAATACTTACTTCAACACAATAATTTAGAAATGACTTCTCTGGAAAAACCGGCAGAGAGACCTCAGGATTACCAAGGAAAGTATTGGAAAGTGGACGTTGAGTTTCTTTATCTCAGCGTATTTGCCGACTGGAAATTTACCAATCTGAATTTCTTGTTCGAGAACATGATGGGATGGAATATTCCTCAAAAACACGGTATCGAAAGAACGTTTCGTGTCGAATCGAATGTGGCTGCTAGCACAATTGTGGGAAATCAAATCACACATGTCTTGCGAGAAATACAATATGTACCCTCGACGAAATATTACGAACCCTCACATATCCAATATATTCCAGTGCGTCAACAATTTTTCGACATAATCGAAGTGGATCTTCGCGAGGAAAACGGTGAACACGCTACCTTTGAAGTGGGTAAAACCACCGTGAGTCTTCGTTTCAAGCAATATGGCCACTAGCGGAATCGTGGTGACATTTTGTCAGCAGTAGTAGCAAATCGGAATTCCCTATAATGAAATGTCCAGTTACAAGATTCGTCTACCTTACCCATTGGAATTGAATGGAAAATGGAAAGTGGAACTGAGTAGCATCATGACATGAACACGTTTGAACCAAGAACTGTCTGAAATTACATTGGAGACAACGTGGAAGTACCTAAAAACAATACAGCCATTTTGACTGTCACTTGCGTGATCAAACTATTGAGAGGCGCGTTTCCTGGAATAAAAAATTTCATATTGCATGTGAAGTGCGACAATATCAAACATTCAAATGTCATCACAGATGGAATTATCTTTATGAAAGTGGTGATAAACAAGTACGAAGAACTTGTCATGCGACGAAGAACGAATTATGATGAAGGTCCAGGAAATAATACCAGACTAAAAGAAAGTCAGACTACGTTAAATACTGACAAGAAGACCAAGGGAATTTTTTACTTCAAATGGGAAGGAGACGAGCTGGTCATAGACAACAAAAACTCTCCAAAGTACGAGAAACCAGAACATCCTTAAATGTTCATGGGTGGGAATAAAGACTTGGCTTTGAAAATGGGATGGATTACACCATGGCCAGAGAAGAACTCGTACAAACTTGGATCTAATCTCATACCGGAAAGCTATGCAGAGGACGGATGTGCCTCTGCAGCTCACAATCTGATGTTCAGACCCATGCAAACCGACAAGCCTAACGGTTTCGACATGTCTACCCTTCAGTATTACTTTCACCTCAACGAAAATGAAGAACAAGTGTATCTCAGTGCGGAATGTAATTGGAGATTCAAAAATATCAACAAAACCTTTGATCACATGATGAGAAAGACTGCACAGAGTTTTTTCGTGTACTCAGACGTGATGATGAGTGGCATAGTAGGAAATCAAGTCACCGATATCATGCGAAAGGTTAAATACCAACGCACGGGAGCAGGAGTGAATTATTTCGAACCGTTACATATTCAGTACTTACCAGTGCGAGGCAACACCATTCATACCATCAAAGTAGAAGTGTCCGATCATAAAGGGGAATTGGTTAAATTTGGAGAAGGAGACACCATAGCGACATTACGGCAAACGGCAATCATGAGAGGAGGTTCTTTAAAGAGATTCAAACCCAATGCTGCAGGACAAAAAGGAGAAGGAATAAAAGATATCTTGAGAAAAATTTTGAGTAATACGTGGAAAGGAGGCGTCGCAGGCTTTAAAAAGAAAGCGCCTCTTCGTAAGAGACCATACAACGCGATCAGGGGTTTTCAACAAGGATTAAAGAGCGGTATCAAGAGTGACAAACGAAGTGAAACGTCAAGCAGCCAAAGGACTGAAAGGATTTTTTGATTGAGAATGAATTGTATGGGACCCGTGTATTCTAGAAAGGTGTCTAGCGTGCGTTCAAGAGCAAAGTACAAAAAGGAGGACGAATCTTTCAAGAATCACCATTTGTACCTGTATTCGAACCTGAAACTGTCAAGTGGTTGACGAAACGCACCACAAGAAGAAGAAAGGAGAAACGATAATGTCCACGGAAGTCAATCCCGCGTATGGGAGTTCGCTACCCATGGTCAATGCAAAATTAGACCTTTTCAAAACGCCACCGATGGACATTAGTACCTCTACCTACTGTATGGTACCCACTCAACCGTTCATTACTGGCACGACACCCACTGATTTCCAAGTGAATGCCCAAGGGGATTTTGTGGATTTGAATCGAAGTTACTTCGATGTGGAATTACAATTGAGTTCGACTGATTATAATAACTTTGCTAGGACTGCCGATAACACAGACGCCATGATTGCACTTGTGAACAATTTTGCTCATTCCATCGTCAAACAAATCAACATGAGATTGAACGGAACTCTGATCAGCGAACAAACAGACACCTACCTACAAAGTGTATATGGAAACTCTATTAAACAACAACAGACAAGACGATGAAACGATCTTAGTTCCTCAGGGATGGTATAACCACATCAATGTGGTAAGCCAATACACAGCTGCGAACATCAAAAATAATGATGCTCAGCATGCAGCCCTATCCTAGCAACACAACGATACTTTGAAAGCACAGAAACATGCCCCAGTTCCTTTTGTAGCACAAAGAAGGCATACGCTGAGGATGAAACCTCATTTAGAACCCTTTAGGATGGGAAACCTTTTAGTGCCTGGAGTACAATTCAGTATTCAATTTTATATGAATGCACCAGAACTAATATTCGATGCTGTGAATATCCAAGAAAAAATCAGGGAAATCAAGATAAAAATGTACCTGTGCGTGGTACGGTTAAATGACACCATCTTTAGAAGTCTAATGAGTAAAATGACCACCCAAAAACAAATTGTCAAGTATCCCACAGTCAGGTCCGAAATCGCCACGCGATCGTTGAGACAAGGAGAAAGGATACTGGAAATACAAAATCCCTTTCAATCCAGGATACCCAATTTCATCATGGCAGCACTGGTGAACACAGCGGCTTTCAATGGTACCTACGACCGAGATCCATTTTGTTTTGAAAAATCTAGAGTGACCACTTTCAAGCAATTTATCAGAGGAGAAGAGTATTCTTATGAATCTATGGACCTCAACTACAACGACGGACAAAAAGCTTTGATCGTATGAGACACAACGGGTATAAAATTTCACAAAGGAGTCCCCGATGTATCACATCTACAAAAATGGTTTACAGCGAAAGGAGGTATTTTGGTTTTGAATGATTTAATGGCTGAAGGTGGTAATGACAAAGAAGTCATGGATTTGTTTACCAAACATTCTCATCACCGAAACATTACGTTTCTTTATCTCTGTCAAGATATGTTTCCACCTGGTAAATACGCCAAGACCATTTCTCGTAATTCGCATTACATTGTGGCTGTCAAGAATCCACGCGATCAACTGAGTATGCATAATATCTTATTACAAGCGTATCCGAAAACACGGGAACAGGTGATGGAAGTCTATCGAAAAGAAACCGAGCGACCGTTTAGATATTTGACGGTCGATTTTCATCCGGCCAGTTATGATAGGTTTCGCATTGTGAGCCGCTTATTAAAGCATGAAGGCTGTATGCGATGTTTCATTTTACCCCCGCATAAACACCTATAAAGGTCACAGGCTATGAAAAAGAAAAGAGGAGGGCGACGTATTGCGCAGAGAGGTGGATTTGCTTCGGCGGTAGCGGCTGTACCGGCTATAAACGCTTTGGTGACCTTGGCCGTAGTCAAAAAGCTCAGAAAGAAGGCAGCCGTAGCCTTTGAAAAAAGGAATGAAGAAGTTATGGTCAAAGAAGCCAAAGAAGGGGAAGAAGTGAGTGAAACATGAAACGACTTTTGGGACATAGAGCTTCCTTGCTCTCTATACTACGAGAGGGAAATCGAAACAAACGTCATGACTTGATCCAACACCCCAACGGGGAACAAATCAATGCTGTCAGTGAATTGGTATTAAACATGTTAAAAAATCGCGTTCCGTTGTCACCACCGCTCATGGCTAAATTGAGAAGACACAAAAAGGTGCTCAAAGAACTGACTAGGAGAAAAAATTCTATAAAAAAGAGACGACTTCATTTGATGAATCAGAAGGGCTCTGGCTTTTGGCAAGGTCTTCACGAAGCGTACTGTAACTGTTTTCAATTATGAGTTGTCAGACTTTGAGTGCTCTGACGCATTTGTTAACCGAGATTAACTAATTGGTAGAAGAATGGAAAGAGAGTAGTCATAAAATGGAAAAGAATCACGATTATTGGTATAAGAGGGCTACGGATCTTGAAAAGAAATTGTATTGCAAACAATGTCTGAGTCGACAGAACGAGGTGGAAGATTTAAACGACGGTGAAACGATGGAACTTTGTGCAGAATGCGCAGAACGATTACGTTCGACAATGGACATGCAAGAGCGCCTAAAGTTTCTTGAGACGCAAATCAAACATTAGCAGAATTCGTCTGCTTTTGAAAGCACCAGATATCTGACGCTCTTGTATAAGATTCACTGCTAGGATTGCAAAAGTGACATAAATAGATACGATCAATACTGTGCTCAATGCGTGCGTTCAGTCACCGAGAGTAAACACGAAATCGAGTACTGGAGAAAGGCGTACGAGGCGTTATTGGAAAAATATTATCAAGAACCACGCGATGTCGTAGATGGCTGAAGAATACCTCATGGTGAAGCCCGAAGAATTCCAATGACTTGTTCAATATTACAAAGGACAAATTACGGACAGTGCCTTACTAAACAAAGCAGGTCGTGTCACTGCCGAAGAACATATCATTGCAAACAATCCACAGGTGCCTGATGCTATAGCGAATCAACAGACTAGAGAATTGTTACAAGAACGTAGACGATTGACGAAGCGATTAAGAGATATTCCAAGTGTACCCACAGCCGATTTGGCAGATGTAGAGTCTGAGGAAAGTGCCATGACAGAAGGAATTGTGGAAAATTTACTCAAACGCATGGCAATGAAACAGAAGGAAAAACTGCAAGATGAAATTGCGCCCCTCAAGACACCCAAGCAGGAACTTCCCACTCCTGGAACCTCTAAAATACCAGCGCACATAAAGAAACGAGTCTCACCCACGCCTGGCACCTTATCTATGAAGAAAAGGCCTTCTCCTTCAACTTTCGATCTCTAATGGATGATTATCGACAGCAATTAGAAACCTCCTTTAAGAGTATAAAAAAGGGTAAACAACCCGCCAAAGTCAAACGCAAGACGGAATTGGATTGGTTAAAAGAAGGCGAAGAGGCCGCTTTATGAAAACCCTTGAGAAGACAACTGCACAAAGACTATGAGGAGTTCTAAAAAAACAAGAACCAAAAGAAAGGCTCCACCGAAAAAAGGCAGAGAGGAGGCAAATTTGACATTCAAAACTGGATTGCAAAATTAGGAGTGGAATTTCATCCTTATTCTTTACCTAAAAAGAAACGTTATCAATTCTTTGGACCAGGCACATTTTTGAAAAAACGCTTGGATCGAGGAGATCAGGGCATCAATCGTTTGAATTGCATTGCCAGACAGCATGACATTGACTACTCTAAGGCCAAGAGTCTAGAGGATAAATGGAAAGCCGACGATAAGATGGTAGCCTCTATTAAAAATCTTCCTGGCAAGAAATCAATGATGGAACACCTGGCACGTTACATTATACAAACTAAGAAACAATAGAAATTGTAATAACAAAACTTGTTATTACATTTAAAAACTGTTATTGATTACAACTGGCGTGTCCGTGCGTTTTTTCTCTTTCGATAAAATTCGACATTGTCGTTTACACCTTTAAACACTTGTTTGGCTAAAAGTCTACCTAAGGCACCGAACGATGGAGATGGACCCAACAGGAACATGCTTAAACCTTTGGCGATTTTGTCTGTTTTGGTGGGACCCCGCCGTAATATTCTTTTGATAGTACTCGCTGCTGCACCTCCTCTTTGTAGTCTCCTTCTCCTTCTCTTTCTTCGGGTTCTCATGGATGTGAGAATGAATGAATGTCACTACACTTACAACCTTTTATATCAGTACGGATACGACATAAAAGTGTCTTTGTCAATCACGCGTTTGTCAAACACTAAACCGTACTGTTTGATACGCTCGACAGTCCTATCTTCGTGGTTTGGCCGGGTTTGCGTGAGTAGATGACGGATCTGTGTCGTAGTAGAGGACTTGATCTCGTAAGGGGTCCAGATAACTGTATAGTTTCAAGCGGGCTTGAGTGGTTGTAAAGGCAGAGATGGAAGTATTGGGTTTCTTGCCTTTAGAAGCGTCTTCGTCCACGTAGCTAAACACCACCTCTAAGACATCTTCTGAAAAGACGCAAATCACATGAATGACCATCAACGAATTATTTAAATATTCAAACAATTTGTGAGGCGCTGTGACTGATTCCACCGCAGATTTGTTAAGCCGTTCTCCAAATTTACCCCAGAATGAGTTCAACATGAGTTTAGGTAACAAACATTTGGCTGCGTTCTTCACAATTTTCCCTGATTCCATTCGGATACCTTCATGCACTTCATAGTGGTTAGTGTAATTCTGCAATTCTTCTGGGGTGTGTACATGAGATGGCCGCCCGCTTGATTCCTGTTTCATTTTCAGCCATGTATCCACGTACCCAGTGAACAATCTTTCGACGCGCTGGTCTTCGGGAAAATGCCAGATTTCATAAATTTTCACAATTTGGTACCCTTTTTGCATGGCTTTAATGATTTCTGGTGTACACCATGTACCGCAGATGAGGCGTTTTTGAACGGTGTGAGTACAGGTCCATTGGCAGTCGAGCATCGGTTTCGCTTGTTGTTGTTCCACGCAGGTACGGCAAAACGGAAAAGTCAATTTTCCTCCACTTCGATAGGGTAATACAGGGTTGAACAATTCTTCTGGTGGTACAATATCCACAATGGCGATGCCATAATAATCTGATAGATCGGTGATCTGAGGACTCGTTAAAATCTGTGGATGTCCCACGGGACAACTTCCGTATTTGTTCACCCACGGATATTCAGAAGTGACATCAATGAAATGTACTTTTTCTCCTTGGCCTTCATCGGTCTTGTGTTACAAACATGTAGCGCCGGTCCTTCCACCGTAAAATGCATGACGCGGATCTAGAGGTTCCACAGTTTCCAAGGTGTGAAGAAACTGTATCAGTCGCGGGTTGTGTTTGGAGAGGTCATCCCAAAAACATTCCCACATTTCCACCACGGTAAAACCAATCGAGCGTAACAGAGCGGTTTTGGCACAGGTTACGTCATAGACTTCTTCCATGGAACAGTCTAGATGCACTCTAGGAACTAATCTGCGGTTGGGATGGCAGCAAGGACAACCATGCCATACACAACCATGAAATTCGTACCAATTTAGAAATTCTTGGCGTTTGTCAGGATTCATACTGTCAGGATCATAAGTGTCGCTGGGTGGGATCGGTCCGACATAAGATTGGTTTTAGAACCTCCGATGACAGTCTTAGAAGCCTTGGCCAACAGGCCTGAAAGAGTCCCGCCACCAGAAAGGAGGCAATTCAATTGGGTGGCAGCCCAGCGCCACAATGCCTATCTCCACTTTCTTTTCCCAAAACAAACGTGAAGCCATTCAAAGGTTTCGATTTGTCTTAGAAAATTTACTGGCCATAAGTATTGGAACTCTCACAAAAATGTTTTGTAAGAATAAAAACAGCAAAACAATATTTTCGTAGGTGGGATAAAGAATACCAGGTTGGATATGTAAATCCCGACCAGGATCCCAGGTAGAATGTATAAGTCCCACCTAAGATCCCGGGTGGGATGCAGGAATCCTGCATCAAGTGAGGGATCCCAGGTGGGATCAAATTTTCATCCCAGGTGGGAAAGGTGGGATCCCACCACCTAAGGCGGGATCCCGCCATTCCCACCTGGGATCCTGGGTGGGATTGCCGGGATCCCGCCTATATCCCGCCGGACATTTTACCTGGGTTGCTTAGGTTTTTTTTTCGTCGTTGCTCTTTGTAAATTCTGCTAAGGTTTTTCTTTCACCCTTACCTTTTTCCTTGCTTGCTGTAAATTTCGCTTAGGTTTCTTTCTTTCGCATTTGCTTTTTTCCTTGCTTATTGTAAATTTCGCTTAGGTTTTTTTCTTTCGCATTTGCTTTTTGTAATTAACTTCTTGTAATAATAAACTTTTTTGGTAATGATAAACTTTTTGTAATAAACCTGTTGAAAGTTTATTTTTTGTGTGTTTTTATTGTTCATGTGCTTAAATGACAAAAACTCTCGTATGGATTACAAGTTTGTTTGTTTTTTTACTGCGCTTTAAGATTTTTTATTGCGCTTTAGTGTTGAAAAATTCTCTCACGACCTAAAAACCTTTCCTTAAATTGAAAAATGTGCGGTGTTTGACGAATTAGATGTTTTAAATCATATTTACATTTTCTGCGCACGCGCCTTGCCTAAAAAGACTCCCATGGATGACAAAAATCCCTCGTACATGGATGACAAAATCCCTCGTAGACACATATACATAATCCACCAAATATACATATAACTGTCATCTAGTGATGACATGAACCCTGGTCCCCAATGGTCCGTTAGGAAACAATCTCACGTGAAAATAATACATCGTTACGACGTCATGAATATGGTGATACTAATGGTAATGTCAGTTCCTTGGGAATTATTAGCTAATTAACAAGCAACAGTTTTTGGAAGATATTCGTAATTCTAGTTTTATATCGTGACCCTCCTAATACTCTTGATGAACTTGTGGAATGTTACAATAATACTCTAAGATCAGTATTGGACAAACATGCCCAGTCCGGGCTCACACCTGAAGATCTCAGTCACTGTTGTTCTATTGTTCTTGGGTGTGAAGTCTTCCCATGTGATCTTAGGACAGCTGTGTTCGCCTCTAATTGTTCTTGGTGGTCACGTGTGCGATATCCGGTTCTGTGATTGCTTACCCGGTATGTTAGCGTCCTATACTACTATTACGCTTTTTTGTCAGCGTTATTGCAAAGCGTATATCGGCAGAATCACAGAAAACGTTTTTTCCGATGGTTTGCTTTGAATCAAGCAGTTTTTAGCTTTATCTCAAAAAGTGCTTGAAGCTTCATCTCATGAAACACAGCGTCTTTGCTCTTTTGTAGCCAAAATATCCTGATTTTAGGTATATCTCACTCAAAACAACGTGTTTGCTTTTCTAGTGCTAAATTACGCCCTGTATGTTGCTTAAGCCTTTCAGCGACAACAGACAGAAACCTTTTTCCAGTGCAAAATTGCTGAAAACAGCGTAATTCAGCACCAAAAAGGAAAAACCTTGTTTTGAGTGAGATATGGCTAGAATCAGCGTGATCAGCTGGAAACAAGCGAAAACCTTTTTCCGGTGCAAAAACGCTGAAAGCAGCGTAATTTAGCAACAAAACAGCAAAAGCCTTGTTTGGAGTAAGATACAGCAAGAATCAGGCGATTAGCTGTAAACAGGCGCAAACCTTTTTACAATGCAAAAAAGCTGAAAACAGCGTAACTTAGCAACGAGACAGCAAAAACGTTGTTTTGAGTGTGATAAAGCTAAAATCAGTGAATTGGCTGCAAACAGGAAAAAAACACCTTTTTCTGCGAAAAAGCTAAACTCAGCGTAACATCAGCAAACAAGCAGAAAAACAAGAGACTCGGATACACAGTAAGGAATGGCACGATTCCACAAGCTCTGGAAAACTTTGTATTTTTTCTCCACATTTCTATTTATTGCATCAATATCTTCACTTCATTATGATGTTAATGGAGTTCCTGATACTTTGCAGGACTTAAACGAAGATTTGGCAATTTTTTCGACGAAAATAGATGAACTGAACTTGTCTGAGGCTATCGCACGTGGTCGCCATTTTGACTTCACCAGGCCAGGGTTATTTATTATTCAAATTCGTGTGCTACACACAATGTGGAATATTTATTGATGTGTGGAGACGTTCAAGCTAACCCTGGTCCTTGTGGTAACAGCACTGGACGACCTTACTCTGATAACCACCAGACCTCGGAGAATATTCTTGGTTGTATATCACTTAATGCAAGGTCAATCTGCAATAAGCTGAATGAGTTCCATGACTTAGGTAAAATGAGAAATGTGGACATAGTAGCAGTTACCGAAACCTGGCTTCATCAAAGAATATTGGATGCAGAAATTCTCGACTCAAATTATATTACTTTTCGTCGGGATAGACCAACTAGATCTGCGAATGACAACTCAACTATACTTGATTTACTTATCACTTCTGTTCCTGAATTTGTCAGAAACATTACAATTCTCTCAGGGGAATTTTCCTCGGAGCATACGCTAATTACTTTTGAAATCATTATTCTACTGAAGTGCATCAAGCCATTGAAACGTTATGTTTACAACTATAAGGATGCTGATTTTGACGGATTACGAGAACTCTTAAATTATATTCCTTGAGATGTAGTTTACGAAGAAAATGACACGTATTTTTCAACTGTCAAGTGAGGGGATCTTTTTTTTTGCAGCTGTTAACGATTGTGTCCCCAAGATTGAGATAATAGTGCTCCATGGATTGATGCTGAAGTTCTTAAAGCTGTTAGAAAGAAAGAGAGACTTAGAAAGAGGGCCAAAAAGTGATCCTCCGAATATTACTGAGCAATATTTCGATTGCATCGTGCGGAACTCAAATCACTTATTAAATGGAAT